TTATAATCTAGTAGTTTCTACTAGCATCTACTAAGAATAGTTTTTATTTTTTAACTTTCTATTATAAGTCTATATTATTAATAGTACTCTTATCTACTATTAATCTCTACTATTACATAGGCTTAGCCTATAGTATATATTTATAGTATTCTAAGGATAGTATTTTTAAACCCTAATTAATATATAGGTTATGCTTCCTTAACTAGGGTAACCCTAATATAATATTATACCTAAATCTATTTAGTATATTAAGCGTAATTATCTCCTTATATCTATAGATCTAAAGTATAGTAGTAACTTTATAAGTAATTTATAGTATATTTAGTATTTAACTTTTATTTATAATATAGATAGGATAGGCTTTATCCTTAAGTATTAGCTAGAGTCCTACTTATAGTACTACCTTTTAGAATATAAAGTTTTCTAATATACCTAAATCTAGTAGTGCCCTAATTTATATTTTATTAAGCTAAACTAGTAGCTTAATTAGTACTTTACTATTAATAGTATTTAATTCTCTAATAGTGTCTTCTTACCTATCTATTAATTATTAAGGGTTTCTTAGGCCTTATAGGCTAGAATTTAGTCTAAAAAAGAACTATTCTTCTTAGAAGCTAGGTAGTCTATATTTCCTTATTATTATTTCTTTTATTTCTACCCTTCTCTTCTTCTACTATAGTTATCTTTCTACTATAGTTTTTCTTTAGAAGCTTTACTATCTTATACTATACTTATTTTTATATAAATATTAATAACTATTCTTATTTAGTTAGGGTTTTTACTAAATCTATAGATATATTTATTATCCTAGTACCTACTATAGTTAATATTTAAGTAAGTTTACTATCTATTCTAGGTATATATTCTATTATAGAGTATACTAGTTACTATATTCTATATATTATTTATACTTAGGAAGTATAGCCTTTCTTATTTATTCTATAAATATTTATTATATTTATTAATTAGGTAATTATACTATTTCTAGTAGTATTATTACTTATATAGTAGTTATTTATCTCTATATAATTCCTTAGCTCTATAGTAGATTAGGCACTAGTTATATTTATATATAGTCTATTAGATACTTAAGTGCTATAGATTTTAGTAGTCTAGGTAGTACTTTAGTAAATAATCTAGGTCCTTATTATAGAAGTCTTTACTAGGGTTTTATTATATATATCTATATTCTACCTATTACCTATCTTCTTTTATAATAATTTCTAGTTAGCGTTTATTATAAGCTTCTAGTGGTATAGAGAATAATAGTAAGATTATTATAGGTAATAATAATATATCTCTATTTTATAGTTAGATTAGTAGTTTATCTAAGTATTCTTATATATTTACTCTATTAGTAAAGATTACTTTCTTACCTTTAAATTATAGGTAAGGTGTTAGTATTTATTTAACTTTCTTATTTATTTTTTTAGATTATTCTTCTTCTACGTCCTTATAAAGTTATAAATTAGTTAATAACTCTAATCTAGATTTATTATTAAGTATAAGATTACTAATAGTATTTATAATAGTCTATTCTTTATTCTTAATTTCCTTTATTAGGGTAGTAAGTACGTTTAATTATCTAATAACCTTATTCTTAGATCTATAGTTCCTAGTAATATAGCCTAGTTTACTATATATAAAATATATATAAGTCTTAGTCCCCTATTATTAGGTTCTATCTAAGATACGCGTATTAGGCTTATAAAAGCCTAATCCTTTTTCTTTTTTTTTACCTAAGTAGTTAAACTAGATATCTTCTATTAACTAGTATCTATAGGAGTCTTATAATATATATTAAGGTTCTTTTAGTAGTACCCTATAGACTATAGGTACTAGTTATCTAAAACTAATATTCTTTAGGTTATATTAAAATTCCTATTATAGTGTAAACTATTCTCTATTAATTCTAATTAATTTATTATATAATTTATTAAGGGTTCTAATAATTCCTCTACTATATAGAAGTTCTTCTCTTAGAGGTTTCTTAAGACCTTATTTATATATTATTATTAGTAACTTATTATTCTAGTTAAGTTATATAGCGTTCTTACGGAATTCTACTATATACTTAGCTACTAATTATTATTATATTATAGTTTAGATATTTTATACTATAATAGGTACCTTATTAGCAATTCTAAATATCTATTTAAGGTATTTCTTAAAGTTAGTATAGTCTTTAATAATATTAACTATATCTATATAGTTATCTATATATTCTTCTTCTTTATTATTATGGTCTATTTCTAGATACTTAGTTATATAAGGTTAAATCTATTCTCTAGCATTACCTTATATATAAGTAGCTGCGAAGATAACCTTTTATTTATCTTTAGGTTATTTATTAAGTTTAAAGAAATAGAGGTCTAACTAAAGAAGCTAGATATTAGTATACTTTCTATTACTATAATATAAATTAGGTTTATATGCTTTACTCTTAGAGTTACCTATTAGAGTAATAGTATTATCTAAAGCTATAGAAGAAGTAGGAGTCCTTATAGTTATATTAAGGGTGTTTAAAATGTTTAATCTAGGAAGGGTAGCTAGTCCTAAATAGGTTAAGGTTAGTTCTTAGGCAAGACTTACTAAGGGGAGGAAGAAGGGATTCTTATTAATATAGAAATATCTTATAAAGTGTAATAAGTTAATAAGGAAGGCCTAAGTAAATCTAAATAATAGATTAAAACTTAGGTTAAATATAAGTATAAAGGTTTATCCTTATATTTCTATATAGAGATCTTACTTAGTTGCTTAGGAGCCCTAAATAGCTAAGTAAGTTATGTAACTACTATCTAAGTAACTTAGCGCGTTTTTATTTTATTATAACCCTAGTTATTACATCTTCTACCTTTATAAGTGCCTAAACTTCCCTACTATTATCTAGTTTATAACACTAGCCTATCCCTTCTATAGATATATATCTATTAAATTAGCTATTATATAATACTATAAAATAGATATAGTAGTTATATTTAGTATATAGCTTAGTAAGCTTTCTATAGAGCATTTAAACTAGCTTAGAGTAGTTATTATTTATAGCCCTTTTAGTTTTTAAGTATAAAGGTACGCGTAATACTATAGTTACTAAGAGATAATAAATAAAAAGACCTATAAGTAGTAAGGAATAAAAAGCCTCTTTAAATTATTAAATATAGTACTAACTAGTATTAGTTTCTAGACCTTATAGCTTACTTATTTCTACTATATAGTCCTTTACTTAGGTGCTTACTACTTTAATATTAGTATTTTATATAGGCTTATTATAATAAATTTTCTTTTCTAAGTTATAGTTAGATTATTACCTAAATAGATATAGAATTTAGAGCTATAATAAGACTTAGTGTAGTACTCTAATTTAGTAATTATAGTTTTAGGCGTGTGTATTCTTAATCTTATAAAATAAAAAATAGGTTAGAATACTTTCTATAATATAAAAATAGCTCTTAGTAGAGCTAGTACTTTTATAAATATTTAGTTATTAGACCTCTATAGTTATAGAAGCTCTATAAATAATATATTATTTAAGTTAGGTAATTAGTAGTTTTTATACCCTATAGTAGATAAACTATACCTATTTTAATAGCTAGTTCTACTTTTTTTTCTCTAATAGAGCTTACTACTTTATATAGCACTAATATAATATCTTTACCCTTTAGTTTTCTATTTCCTCTAAAGAGTATATTATAAAATATTTTTATAACCTCTCTATAGACTATATCTACTAATGGCTATTAATAGCCAATAATATATATAATTCTAGTAACCTAAAATCTACTAATAATATAAATAACCTTATCTCTTAGTCTTACTACTCTATTAATAGCTATTAAGTAAACTAAAAAATATACTAGCCTTACGCACTCTAAGTTTATTTTAGAGATATTATATACTATTATTATATTTTAGGTAAGATATTTAGTATTATTCTACTTCTAGAATACTAGCCTACTCTTTAATAGATTAGTATAATTTATTAGTCTATAGTAAGTAAAGTAAGTAATACTATAATATTCTAGGCTTTAAATAATATAGCTAGTGCTTAGATAATTATATATATCTAATAAGAAGTAAGTAGAAAGTACTTATAAAATTACTTTCTTTTTATCTTTAACTCTATAAAGTGTAGGGAGGTTAGAAGTAGTTATTATAGTTACTAGTAATATACTATTACTATAGATATTACTTTTCTATAACTACTCTTACCTATATATAAGAGCCTTAATTAATAGTATATAGGATAAAAGCTCTCTCTTAAAAAGATTTTTATTAGATCTAGGCCTATAGTTTCCTATAGTATAGAAGGGTATTAAGCTAGCTAACCTAGTTCTAATTTACTAGATTCTTAGAAGGCCTTACTTTACCTACTATACTATAAAGTTATATACTATAAAAACGTCTCTTAGATAAACCTACTAAAGCTAATTTAGATATTTCTATAGCTTTCTATTACTAGAGTTAAGGCCTTCTTAGTCTATCTTTTACTACCTATTTAGCTATCTCTAGGCGTCTAACGCTAATAGCTTAGGCATATTAATACTCTTAATTTCTAATAATAAGATAACTATTATATAACTACTAATAGTAGTAATATTAACTATAGTAATAGGCCCTTCTATTATGTATATATATATTTTGGCTAGTGTTAGGCTAAGAAGGAACCGCTTATAACTAGGAATATTATAGATATTTTAGACGTATAGCTCGAATACTACCATATTATCTTAATGCTATTATTAAGTATATTTTATAATAAGTAGGTTATCTTGCCTAGGAAGAGAAGCATTTATCTTATTAAGATAGTTTTAGAAATAACTAGCTATCTCTAGATATACCTAGCTTAGAGTTAAGAGGTTACTTTAGTTACTAATAATCTAACTAAGGATAATAGTCTACTCTCTCTTAAGAATCTGCAGCGCCTACTCTAGTAACCTAAGTTAAAGATAAACCAAGTATGCTAAGGTGGCGAGTCTAGAGAAATACGACACGGTATACTGTTAATTACTACGTTGGAGAGATCTGTTCGAGATGGTCGGTAGTAGGTTAATGGCATTCCCGGTAAGTTCTGCGGCATGATTCAGTTTTCCTAATAAGCCTAGAACGTCCACACATTGCGCCGCAGCTTGAACACGATAGAAGGGTATGCTGTTTTCGCATTTCCAAGCACAAGAATACGAGTCGCCAGACTTTTCCAGGTCGACCATGTCGCCTGTTCGCTCGTATCGACTTCTAAGTTTGTTTCCAAGGTTGTTTAACCAGGCCGCCCGATCAGGATGGTTGTCTGGCGCGGAGTTGATGGCCTGCTGGGCTGTCTGGATAGCAGCTTCTAGGTCGGCCATATTGCCTGTTCGCTCATACCGGCTTGCCAACATTACTCCATATATGGAGAGATGAGTCGGAAGCGTATCGCTACTTACAGGTGTGCGTTTGACTGACTCTGCGGCCATGGCAACAGCGGCATCAATCAAATCTAGTTTGTCGGTGCGGATATGCTCCTTGTACGCCTGCACAGCCATTTGGGCCAAAAGCTCTGTTGGCTCGATGCCGTCATCTTGCATTTGCTTGAATAGTTGCGACAGCTCGCTATTCTCCATCGCCGTATCTTCGTCCATCATGTGTAAAAGATGGCGCATCCAATTTGCTGTGGAACAGGCGCAAGTCTATCTGGAGCGCGTGCAGGAAATGAGACGAACTCACGTACAGCCTGCCTGTCCAGCTGTCGTGGCGGGGCTGTGCATGTGGCGCTGGCTCTGCCAGGGAGTGGCTGAGCACTTGGCGTCTCACATTGTGCAGGCAGTGAAAGTGGAATGCATTTAACTCGTACACGACTCTCTCCAACCCTCAACCTATTCCAATAGATGAGATTTGACATTATATCCACTGCAATTATGACACTGAGCATTATCTCGTCGGACTTCTTCCTTCCCCTAAGTTCCGTCAAACTTGGGCGGCTAGTAAAGTCCGTCGAATTCCTAGCCTGAACTACCACGATCCACCCTACCGGCAGGCTCCTGAAGAAAAACCCATCGTTCGTAGCCAGTATGCGAGAATGTCGCAAGGCGAAAACAGTGCTGGCTTTACGGCAAAGCTGACATCACTTATGTCATCCGGATTCTCAAAGCGAGCGAACACCAAGGTGCGAATCGAGACGAACGCTGTTAAAACTTATACACTGGACAACTCAGAAGCCTGGTTCAGGGAGGCTACAAACTTTGACGATACTAGAAGATGGATAGAGCGTTCTCTTAGTGGGGATGGAATCTATCTCGTCATTGGCTTTCACACTGTGACGGGCGCTCGCATTGTGCACGAGTCGGTCGAAGGACACCAACTCGCCGGTGAGGCAACTCTACCTGTTGGCCTTTCGCTCGCGGCCGTCGGAGCTATCGCACCGCTTGGTGGTATCTTCGACCCTACTGTGGCTGGACACCAGAAGGTTTTGGATGGATCGAAGACCCAGTTTGTCGCGCCTGGAGAGCAGATTTGTGTCTTGCAATATTGCAAAATCTCTTGTCGTTGGCTGCATAGTAAAAATATTGACAACCTCAAGCTGTCCGAAGTGCCGCGGTGGACAGCCAAAGAGAGTTGGCGGAAGGCGAGCGTTGATGAGACAAAAGATGAACCCGATATTCTAGAGGTAGAAACTGAGGAATTGGAGCAGCTTGAGGGAGACTGGGAGAAAGCAGAAGAAGAGAATGGAGGCCAAGTTTTACTGATGCAATGTGTTGAAGAAGGCGATGACTTTTGAGAGGAGCTGCTTCGCATAGCAATTTGCTCAGCCAGTTCGGTGGGTCACACTCTAGGTAGTTAGTTTCAGTCATTACGTTTAATTAGCAAGTAGGAAGAAGCATGTATAATACTTGCGCGTTAATACAAATCATCAAAGGATCGCTGTGATAGACGAGATTCCTGGCCAATGTCTGTGGTGTGATAGCCGAATTAGGTCCCTTGATTCCTTGCACTACGTTAACGCTACCTTACTTTCTGACTGTATTATCAGCTCCTACGTCATCGTCACTAGTCCAAAAGTCAACATCAATCACTCTAACGCTAAAGCACGACTACTTGTAGCCCGCAAATGGGGAGGTATTGAAAATTGTCAATGAGCCAACGCTTGTACCGTCATGCCGTGTCACTTTGGCCAGGAGGGGATCCCAGGTTTCTGGGAGACACATACGACACGCACACATGCAGGTATCACCAAGCAAATACAACAAGGAATAAAAACTTGAATCGGCATTCGCTAGAGATGCAATAGCATAGCTAAGAATTCTAGCAGACGATAGAGTAATTATCTTAGTATGTTATTAGTACCTTCCGAAGGGTATTAAGCTTTATGGGCCCAATAAGTCCAAATTCTTGCCAGTCGCCGTCGGTATAATACGATGGAGTCTGTGGACCATAGCCCATGCTGAAAATATGGTCGATATTTGCTTTGACCGCGTTAAAAAGTGACGTAGTCACCTCTACCTCCATCAAGTTGCTGCCAGATACGACAAGGTCCGAAACTTCGACCACGGGATTCGTCGGGTCGATAACGGGAACTTGCTTCCCGTTTAACCATGCCTTCATCGTATGTAGGACAGGCCCGAAGTCTATTAGAATGGCCGTCGAGCCGTCGACTGATATCTCGAAGCGGGTGCGGTATGTACCTACGCCGCTGATATGTTCGATTCCAGGGATCTGTGTCCAGGGTGCTAGATGATCTAGCGTGCCTACATTTACGGTTGTGATGTTGCCTTCAAGCGAGGCATGATCTGGTCCATGAGCTTCGACTGTGAGATTCCAAGAGTCTAGAGCCGTACTCTTTTGCCATGTTGTGTTGCCAGCTGGAAGTTCAACTTGCGAACCGTTGCTCAAAGTCATCCATGCTGAGGCATTGTCAGAAACCAATGCCTCCAAGCTACCTTCTTCGGTAAGATGAACGGTCTTGATGTTGAGGGAATGGGCGATCACGTGCTCTTTTTGTTGTGCTCCAGAGCCAACCATGAATGCGACTATCTTCGTTTGATTGGACCGTAATTCAACTCCCAAGACGACGTTGGTAGATTCTCTTTGGAAAACGCCCAATCGGAGCTGGTTTCCGGTCCAAGAATCCAGAATGTAGGGCACTAAGTCTCCGCCGACAGCGAAGGTGATGTTGAACACGCCGTCGGCGCCCTGGTTGTACAAATAGACATACTCTGAGCGCGAGTTGGTGTCAACGGTCCAGAAGGTGTAAAGTTGCGACGCATTGGATGCAAGGTCTACCTGGGCGCGGGGAAGTATTCCATCTGCAGCAATTGTAGACGCAGAAAAACTCTCGAGGTCAATGACCCGGACGCTCTTGTATCCTAGGAGCTCGTTGATATTTTCTGAAACTTGCCGCTGTCCAGTCATCCCGACTGTGGTGTTCGGGATCGTGCCCACAAGATAAATCCGTAGCCCGTTCTGTGCAAATTTTATTAATGCAGCAGAAGCATTCGGCGTTATCTGTGCCTGGTTGTAGATGACCAATGCCTTGAATGCAGGTCCCTCGGGAGCGAGAACCCCATCAACGACCGCAGCTTTCTCAGAGGCTAGGTTTTCCGGGCCCAGGTACTCGAATGTATATCCTTGTACATATTAGCTGGGCCATTACCTATAATTTTCGTTTGACTCACCGTATTTGTTCATATCGAACCCAGAATAAATCTCTGCAAATGTGAAGGGAATCTTGAAGTAGTAAAAAGCAATGTCCACTTTCGGTGCGCCGGATTGCATCGTCATACTGTTCCTTGCCGAGTATGTAAGGAGGTCATCGAGATGCTGCCACGCCGGCTGTCGGTGGTTCCACAACTCACTATATGTGTACTGGAAGGGTGTATAGCCAGGCCATGTGGTATTGAAATATTCGCCGCTGTAAGCATACCCATGGATCACCATCGTGTTCACGCCCGCTGCATAGGATCCATCGAATTGTGCCTTCAATTCGGGGATGCGAAGTTTGTAAGCCCCACCGAGCACGGCGCCAATCTCCGTCGAGATAACATTCCGCCCTGCAAGATGAGCCGCGCCGGTGAACTGCCGATAGAGGTCGATATTCTCAGCAAAGCCAAGAGATTCGAGTTCTGGTATCTGCACATGCGATACAGCTTCCGCCTGTAAAGTATTAGAACTTAGCTTCAGTCGGTCCACGGGTCTAAATGGGACATGCTACAACAGCTTCATAAACTGATATCGAAAAACTTACCATGTCAATTGGCATGTTATATCCAGGTTGGTTAGACAGCTGAATTCCTTTATATGAAGCCCAATTGTTGTAATGTTCCACATAGTCTACATAACCTTGACTGAGCGCGCTCTTGTAGTCCTGCACGTAGGGACCTCCATCGGTGACGTATTCGCCAAGCGTATAGGTGATGTTGTACGGAGGGAGGAACCCACCCCATGCATTTGTTGCATGGAACAGAAGGGGTAAGTATGGAGTGATGCTGTATCCGTGGAGTTCTTCGAACCGCGTGAATAGATCAGGCGTCCAGGGCAGAGCGGCTTGCATTTCCATGCTGTCCTCCCAGGCTTAAATGACATGTCAGTCTAAGTGTGCAAACAAGCGATGCAGCACTCACTATACCCGCCAATCTCCCTCACGAGCGTAGCTATACCTTCGTCGGACAATATCTGCTGATCCCAGAAATCTGTCATTTTTTTGGCACCGTTAGCACTCCAGTGGTCCACCATCCATGAGCCATTTCCTAATGCTGTTGTGGCATTCAGGATCGACACGCAACTCCGCTGATTGGTGTAACGCTCGTAGATGGCGAATATGACCCATGTTCCGTTGCCTTGAGGAGCAGTCCATGTCAGTCTGCCCTTGTCTGTGACGTTGGTCAGATCAATCAGAGACTTTTCGTCCAGAACAGACAAGTAGAAATATTCCGCGAGAAGGATTGTATCAAGGGCTCTCCCGGCAACTACGGCTATCAGCTCAGACGGTCCCCAGAGCTCCGGGACATTCATAAAGCCCGTTAATTGATTGAACTCAACCACAGGCTCCGGAACTTTGCCGGAGAAGGTGGCTCCAGGTTGAATCGTCGTGTTTCCATACACGAGCTCTTTAGCTAGGCCAGGACCTTGGACGGCTGATGGCACACCGGCGCCTTGATTCGCGCCGAGGGCGAAGTCAAACGACAAGTGTAGTGCAGCTGTTTCATTCAAGGCAGCATAGAACAATTTCCTGAAAGCGACTGTGCCGAAGCCATAGATGGACCAGTCAGTCACTGCAGGACCTAGGCCGTAATTGTAAAATGGCAGAAATTCGAGGCCACCACCTCCGACAGCCGCGATCCGGTGGATATCATCCTCTACAGAGCTGTGGTTGACGGATGCGTCAGGCAGCCTAACTCTTCTCAGCGGGCACCTGGAAATGATTTGTGGGATACACACCAGTATCGGAATTTTGGGCGGTATTGGGTGGGCGGATTCTTGAATTGGGCGGTAGCATTTGTTCCCCTGATTTTGTTGACGGCAAACACCTGGCCTACAAGCGTCAAGGACGCGAGAAGGCGCACAGGCTTCATTGCTTAGCTTAGCATCTAGCACTCGCTTGCGGGCAGGCCCATCCTTATATCTTCACGTGCCTGGTTTCGTCATTCCGTCAGACTCCCCTTTCCAGAAGTGCGGGAACAGCTCGGCGGACAATAATCCGACTTCGCGGACAGCCTGCATTGACCTGGGCAAGCTTAAATTTGAAGGACCTGCTAGTGCCGAAGCAAGATGCCCGAGCTTTTGCCGTGTCCAACCGCTAAGCCCTATATACGCTATGTATACGAATACGAATACAATAGACGCTTGGGCAGTGTAAGGATGAAACGCCTACGTGATCTTGTATACGAAAGAACATGCTCAGGGCATGACAACGGCACCAGTCCGCCGGCTGTTTGGCTTGAGCCAGAAACAAGGATCGTACTCGAAGCAACGTCATTTCTGTATTCTATTCACTGCTAGTTCGTCTATTCGGTTGATTCCGTTCTAGCTACTACCGGTCGCTATGTACTCTCTCCAAGCAGGCCTATGCTTCACATAGCTATGCGCGTGCAGTGACTAGTATAGTCTAATTATCACCTATGAAGCTTCCGAAGATATTACAATTGAATATGCGATCATACAACTGCCTAAACATAAACATACCTATTGCTTCAAGTCAGTTCACGGCGAACCACGGAGACGAAAGAAAATGCGCTACAGCCGCCAGAGGTCTATTTAGGTGCGGTAACTTCGGTCGAGTAACAAAATAAATTATACTACAGTATTACTAGAGGACCTATACGGAGCGTCTAATCCTCTATTATAGTAAACCTATATTATAGACCACCCTTTAACGTCTCTAATAGATTTACTAGGATAGGAGTTTAACCTTATTACTAGTTAGCTACTTTTTAATATCGCCTATATACTAGATAAGAAGGATAAACATAGTAGTTACTATCTATATAGCGTTAAATATATATAGAAAGACCTTATATAATATAAGATAACTACTATTACCCTAGAGGTACTTAATAATATAGAAGATGCTTTAGATAAGAATAAAAGTGCTAATAATATATAGAATAGTAAAATAGCGCTTTTAGTTTACTAAATAGGGACCTGTGGATTCCTTTAACTACGTAAAGTAATACTAGAATAATATAGCTATTATAAGAAAGAATATATAAATAATAATCTATATAAATAGTTAAGTAATAATAATCTTCTTACCTATATAATTAAAGCTCTAAGGTGCCTATTACCTATACACTACTACCTCTAGCTTAGAGGGTAAAGGAGATAATATTACTTATAATAAATATTCTTATTACCTAGATAATAGGTATAAGAGATAGTTACTTAGTATATAAGGTATAAATAAGGCGTCTAATAATTATATAAATTAAGGTAACGTAGAGTGCTAGAGTAATAAGAATAAGAATTACCTAGATAATAAAGCCTCTAATTAAGGTGTTATAGTAGGACTAAATACGACTATAATACACAATAGTCTAAACTAGATATATTATTAGGTTACTAATATTAATAAGGGGAAAGGCGCGTCCTACAATAGCTACTAATAGTAAAAGTGGTAAAGTAGAGAGTATAATACTATACTAGGCACTAGGTGTATAGTATAGAGAGGATTATAAACATAGTAGTAGTAGTAATAGTAGTAGGGAGTAATAGCGTGTAGTAGTAGAGTCTAAAATTGCAGGCGCTCGTGTTGTCCGCCATTATTGTAACCCGTGAGCTGCGAGCGAAAGGCAGGGCGGCATATACGATATATACTCACAATGTTGAACACAATATGACAAAACGTATACACGCGTATGAATATCACATTTTTACGGCGCAAGGGGCAGACGTGGGCCGCTAATGTTGAGTGGCGCAGGTCATCCATGGATATGGTATCTTTGCGTCATTGGCCGTCAGTGCGGAGCCATCCTGATTGAGTTAGAGCTGCCTCGCAAGCGCTTTATCTTTGGGCTCAAGATAGAATAGAGCACGCCATGCAAGCGACCAATGAGAAAGCGCGCACGCCTAAGCCGACATTTAACCTTCGTCAAACGCGTATGTTTCTGATCGAACGGTGGCAACAACGTGAGATCATCTAGACACGAGTGGTGCGGTCTAGATGAGTTGCAGCGCTTGCAGTGTATGCCCTGACGCGATCACAGCCGGGTTATGTACAGGAAAAACCCAGCAACCGAGAGCTTCGTCTAAGACGGCCTCGAGGCGAAGCAGCGGCGCGGCAAGCGGTGGAAGCGGAAGCGAAGACAAATTGGACGATGTAGATGTAGAATCTGAACAGGCTGACGAGAGGGTTGTCGAGCTGGAAGGTAGATTGTGGCGCGGTGATTGTTTTTACAACTTCGCGGGAGTCCGAGGGCCCTGACAGACTGATTGTCAACCTTTGTGTCCGCTAGAAAATAATCGCGTTGCGACGGGCTTGCTTCAAAAAATTACTGGGGAAGCCTCGGTTGGATTAGAAGTTAATCTACATCGACATGTGAGACAAAATATAGGATCTGACCGATCTTCCATCTGCACTTCAGCAAATATCTACATTGTGGGGGCACCCATTGGACCAACGCCCAGATTTTATAGGACAGGATTAAACTACGCTTCGGCGTTCAGGCATTGTACGTAAGGACGAAAGACTTCCCCCCTGTAATTCGGAAGGTCCCATTCCCGGCCACGACCTCGCCGTTCACCTTGAAAGTACCTCCATTATATCCATCTTGCTGTGATGAAGGTAGAACGACCGTGCCGGTGGTGGAGTTGGGGCTCGTCACTTCTAGCCTGGTTATGACGCATCTTGTAGCATTCCAAGCGACGAAGATCTCACCTCCTGGCACGGGAACCCTGCCGCTAGCCCACTTCAGGTCAAGCGTCACTGGAGCGACTCGCCATTCAGTGTACCCTGGAGCTACGGGCTTCACTCCCAAGACATGATCGCTGAGCTCCCCTGTGGGACCTGCAGCCCAACCGTGGCAGAGGCTAGTGATCCGCCCAAGCGCAGGCGCACCGGTTGCGTCCAAGGTCTCCCAGAAGCATCCAGTATAATTAGCTCCCTTAGGGTCGGCCATTGGCCACCATAGGCTTTTCAACAGATCCATGGCCGTCTCGCCGTCGTTGACCTCAAGTGCGGCACGAAGGTGATAGGCGCTTGCATAGGGACTGATGAACTTCGCGAACCCAGCTCCGATCGTTTCGTTTGAGAAAGCAAGAGGACCTTTTGGTGTGGAAAGCTGCTTTAGGGTACTCAGAACGCGGGATGAAGTGTGGTTGAATTTGGTCACACCAGCGAGAATGGCCAGAGCATTCGAGTCCTGTCCGAAGCCATTCTCGATTGACTGTGAAAGGTAGTATGCGTTGAGTTGATTCGACCAAAGGTTCTGGTCGATCGCGGTTCGCAGCGCATTAAGACGAGAAACGTATGGCGCGATGTCGACGCCGCCGTCCGCAAGAAGCCGAGTGCATTCCTGGAGTGCGTATGCATAGACCATATTGAATTTGGTGACAACACCTGCTTGTGTCGGATCGTAATAATTCCAGTCGCCGCCAAAGATAGGGTTGGTGATGTTCAATAACCCCGTTTCAAGCAGAACTTGAGAGTGTGCCCAGTCCAGCATGCGCACAGCTCTTGGTGCCCACTCTTTTGGTATACTAACATCGCCAGTGCGCATGTAGAAATTTGCAGCTGCGGTGAGGAGGTTAAAAGAGTAGCCAATCAACCCAGTAATGTTGGCATCAATAGGAGTGGAAAGCGGTTCTTGTTGGATCTTTGCCGTGGGTGCAAAGAATCCTGGGGTCAATTGGTAGGATCCGATAAGATCGAGCGTGCCTTTAATGTAGCTGATGCCATAGGTACTCGACAGCGAGGATACCAGGGCAATATCCAGATCGCCTGCATACGCAATGCGATCACGCTTCGAGCCGTCCACCGTCGTATCCTGGGGATTTGTCCCCATCAGGAAGTCTGGTAAGAAAGTCTCATCCGTCAAAGACGCTGAATAGATTATCTGACCTGTCGGGGTCGTAGCAGACAAGTTTCGGAAAATGGCAGAGTGGCCGAATGACGCGCCTAACCCGAAGGATCCGACGAAGGCAGAGGTTTGCGAAAATTGAAGAACTGGAAACTTGTTGAAAGATACGGCGATGTTGGTAACATCCACAGTGGCCTCGACTTTGTACCAGGAACCGAGAGTTATATTTGCCGGCAACGTTGCGAATGCAAGTGGAGGAGAATCCTCGGTGGAACCGAGGTGTGCCGAGATCGATTTATTTGCTATATTGCAAAAGATGTAGATTCCAGAGTTGAGAGTATCAGCAAGCACAGAGAATCCTAGTCCTTTGAAAAGGGGCTTAACTTCGAATGCAAGTTGATAACTCATCAACATAGCAGCGACGCTGCCTGACAGCACTTGAGGGGCTTGGCTCTCAACCAAAGCACCCTCGGAGGAAACCTGCCAGAACGCAGGAATGGAGTTTGCGGGGATGTCGTTTAGTTGAACAGTTCGCGCTCCGACCTTCCAAATTTGATTGAGGTGCTCGTCCGAGGTCTCGAAATATCCCGGCAGTTGATCAAGGGATGTGGTCGGGATTGTGGGCTTCACACCGACGTTCCTCAGTACCAGTTCGCCTGTTGTCGAGAGGTTGAGTTTCTGGTATCTGAAGCCTCCCTGAAGAAGTCGATTGGTATGTAGCATGGGCCCAGTGACATTATATTGATTGACTCTGTAGTTGTCCATAGCTGCAGCCAAAGCGAGGGGGCCATCGCTCTGCAACATGTATCAGTGTAGGCTTCGAGCACTCGTAGTGTAGGACTCACCGTGTAGAAACTGTCCAGTACCGATTTAGTCTCGCTATACGTGATATCCAGACCCGACGTGTCGCCAGTAGCTGAAAGGACTTCGAAAGTGGGACGGCCCTCGACATTAGCCCCATAGTCAAGGACTACTACGTCCGGAGTCGAAGTGGTGCATTTGAGAGTGATAGTATTATTTGACCCAAATATCGTCGGTAGGTTGCCTTTTGGTACTGCTACCGCTTCAGCAGCTGTCAGACAAGCCAGCAGGGCTAGTGTAGAGAAACCCATGATATGGTCGTACTCCTCGATGAGGATTGATCAAATGAAAGCAGGACGCAGAAGGGGAGGAAGAGAATACCCATGCAACCATAGCAAGGCTGTTGCAATGCAAATATACGAAACCGTGAATGATTTTTTTTCTCCGTTTATTCTCTCCGAGAGAGGACTACGTGCTAGAGGCTTGGTGATGCAATCTCCGATATTGTTTGGGTATAGCTTCAGGTCGCCTTTGTCACTGTGCTAAGCCACACGTGACGTATCTAGCGATCGCGTGTTCGCTATCTTCGTATTTGGAACGCTCTGATTTGTCCCGCCACGTTCCCACTCGCCACGGCTTTATTCGGCACAAATATTGAACGACGCGGTTCAAGCACAAGCCAGCCACGGGCAGTTGCGTCTGCCTAGCCGTGAATGGGCCTTGGCTCTTAGCATCGTAACCTATTTTCGTCTCATTCCTCCCAGAACATTACCTTTGAGTGTCTGGCAATACACAATTCATCTTGGTAATGGATTCATCCTTACAACCGCTGTGGCCCTCATTACTCAACATACCACCTTCGCGGATAGTTCAGCTCTCAGCATCCAACAACTGTCGCGAGAACTCCTCCGCCACGCAACAGGTAGAGCATAGTGAATCAGGCCCTACCTTACCGATGATACATCTTTGGCCGAATACTGACTTCTGTAGGAGAGACGTATGACCAGAAGTAATTAATACGCAACATACTGTATGGGTGCGTACAGCCACGTCTAGAAGCGTATGGGTGCGTATAGCCACGTTTGGAAGCGTATTGGCTGTTTGCTGATTGGTTTCCTTGCCCCTCTGATCGGCGCCGCTAAAGGTTTTGCGGCGCGATGCCGAGCCTCCGGCTCCTGCAAGGCGGAAAGAAATTCCTTGCCTGGATCGGTCGCAAAGCGCAACGTGCGAAGGGCTGTGTCGTCGCCAAGCTTGCCCTCTCGCGTGGCTATGAAAAGTGGCATGCTTGCCGCGATCTCTCAAGCAGCTCGTCGGTAGACCTAGCTTGCGTGCTTGGTGAAATCTTGCTGGCAGATTGTCCGTCGTCGTACACAGTAAATTGTGAAGTCACTCCCTACTAGGGATAACGGCAGCATAGGATTGTATTGCTAGTCAAACGGCCGATGACGCTAGGTCTACCGAAACACAAAATATCCTCAGGTCATGCAGCCCGTGCACCGGGCCTACAAAACGGTGGACCATGTCCTCGTCTATGCGGCGCGCATTTTGCTTGGTCCCACGATTATATATCTTATGTGAAACCCCTTATATCGTAGTTATAGTAATGGCCGATAACATAGGCGCCTTTAACTTTAGGCTCTATTACTATACGCTATTACTACCTACTACTATTACTACTACTACTATCTTTATAATCCTCTCTATATTATATACCTAGTGCTTAGTATAATATTACACTCTCTACTTTACTATATTTACTATTAGTAGCTACTATAAGTAGTATCTTTTACCTTAGTAGTATTAATATAGCTAACTATGTCCCTAGTCTAGTTTATTAGCTACTATAGTTATATCTAGTCTTACTATAATACTACTTTAATTAGAGGCTTTATTATCTAGGTAATTTTTATTCTTATTACTCTAGCCCTTTACATAGCTTCTATTTATATAATCCTTAGTTACCTTATTTATACCCTATAAGCTAAGTAACTATCCCTTATACCTATTATCTAGATAATAAGAATTTTTATTACTTATAATATTATTTTCTTTACCCTCTAAGCTAGGGGAGGTAGTATATAGTTAGTAGGTATATTAGAGCTCTATTATATAAGTAAGAAAATTATTATTATAGGTCTACTTATTTAAACTATTATATTTAGCTTTTTCCTTATAATAGCTATACTTTTCTAGTATTACTTTATGTATTCTAGTATATCTAAAAATTCTAAAATAGTTAATTAGAAGTACTACTTTACTATTTTATATATTATTAGTATTTTAATTCTTATCTAAAGTATCTTCTATATAATTAAGTACTTCTAGAGTAATAGTAGTTATCTTATCTCCTATAAAGTCTTTTTATATATATTTAATACTTTATTAATAGTAGCTATTTATTAGGATCTAGGCCTAAGTAAGGGTTAGGACCTTATTTTATATTATAATAATACTTACTATTAGCTTACCTAGGTAGAGTACACATTTTAACTATACTACTAGGTGCTAAGAGAATGCTATATAACTAATAGTTAATAAGTAATAGTTAACTATTAGATATATAACTAATAGTTAATAAGTAATAGTTAATAAATAATAGTTAACTACTACCTAAGCTAAGTATATAGGAACGTAAGTATAAAGACCTTATACTTATATTTAACCTAAGTTTTAATCTATTATTTAGATTTACTTAGGCCTCCCTTATTAACTTATTACACTTTATAAGATACTTTTATATTAATAAGAACCCTTTCTTTTTCCCTTAGTAAGTCTTACCTAAGAACTAATTCTAATCTATTTAGGATTAGCTACCCTTTCTAGACTTAATATCTTAAATACCCTTAATATAACTATAAGGACTTCTACTTCTTTTATAGCTCTAGATAATATTACTATTACTCTAATAGGTAACTCTAAGAGTAAGATATATAAACCTAATTTATATTATAGTAATAGAAAGTATACTAATATCTAGCTTCTTTAGTTAGACCTCTATTTCTTTAAACTTAATAAATAACCTAAAGATAAAAGGAAGGTTATCTTTATAACTACTTATATATAAGGTAATACTAGAGAATAGATTTAACCCTATATAACTAAGTATATAGAAATAGACTATAATAATAAAGATAAAGAATATATAGATAACTATATAGACGTAGTTAATATTATTAAAGACTATACTAACTTTAAGAAATATCTTAAGTAGATATTTAGAATTACTAATAAGGTACCTATTATAGTATAAAATATCTAAACTATCCTATAATAATAATTAGTAGCTAAGTATATAGTAGAGTTCTATAAGAATACTATATAACTTAACTAGAATAATAAGTTACTAATAATAATATATAAATAAGGTCTTAAGAAACCTCTAAGAGAAGAACTTCTATATAGTAGAGGAATTATTAGAACCCTTAATAAATTATATAATAAATTAATTAGAATTAATAGAGAATAGTTTACACTATAATAGGAATTTTAATATAACCTAAGAAATATTAGTTTTAGATAACTAGTACCTATAGTCTATAGGGTGCCACTAAAAGAACTATAATATATATTATAAGACTCCTATAGATACTAGCTAATAGAAGATATCTAGTTTAATTACTTAGGTAAAGGAAAAGGAAAAGAATTAGGCTTTTATAAGCCTAATATACGTATCTTAGATAGAACCTAATACTATAGGACTAAGACTATATATATTTTATATATAGTAAACTAGGCCATATTACTAGAAACTATAGATCTAAGAATAAGGTTATTAGATAGTTAAATATACTAACTATCCTAATAAAGGAAATTAAGAATAAAGAATAGACTATTATAAATACTATTAGTAATTTTATACTTAATAATAAATCTAGATTAGAGTTATTAACTAATTTATAACTTTATAAGGACGTAGAAGAAGAATAATCTAAAAAAATAAATAAAGAAGTTAAATAAATACTAATACCTTACCTATAGTTTAAAGGTAAAGAAGTAATCTTTACTAATAGAGTAAATATATAGAAATACTTAGATAAACTACTAATCTAACTATAAAATAGAGATATATTATTATTATCTATAATAATCTTACTACTATTCTCTATACTACTAGAAGCTTATAATAAACGCCAACTAGAAATTATTATAAAAGAAGATAGATAATAGGTAGATTATAGATATATATAATAAAACCCTAGTAAAAACTTCTATAATAAGAACCTAGATTATTTATAGAAGTACTACCTAGACCACTAAAACCTATAGTACTTAAATCTCTAATAGATTAAATATAAATATAACTAGTGCCTAATTTACTATAGAGCTAAGAAGCTATATAAAAGTAAATAACTACTATATAAGTAATAATACTACTAGAAATAGTATAATTACCTAATTAATAAATATAATAAATATCTATAGAATAAGTAAGAAAAGTTATACTTCCTAAATATAAATAATATATAGAATATAGTAACTAGTACACTCTATAATAGAATATATACCTAAGATAGATAGTAAACTTACTTAAATATTAATTATAGTAGGCACTAGAATAATAAATATATTTATAGATTTAGTAAGAACCCTAACTAACTAAGAATAGTTATTAATATTTATATAGAAATAAGTATAGTATAAAAAGGTAAAGCTTCTAAAGAGAAACTATAGTAGAAAGATAACTATAGTAGAAAAAGAGAAGGGTAGAAATAAAAGAAATAATAATAAGGAAATATAGACTATCTAGCTTCTAAGAAGAATAGTTCTTTTTTAGACTAAATTCTAGCCTATAAGGCCTAAGAAACCCTTAATAATTAATAGATAGGTAAGAAGACACTATTAGAGAATTAAATACTATTAATAGTAAAGTATTAATTAAGCTACTAGTTTAGCTTAATAAAATATAAATTAGGGCACTACTAGATTTAGGTATATTAGAAAACTTTATATTCTAAGAAATAGTACTATAAGTAGAACTCTAGCTAATACTTAAGGATAAAGCTTATCCTATCTATATTATAAATAAAAGTTAAATACTAAATATACTATATATATAATAGGGCCTCTAGGACTCTGTCACTAGCCGTGGCCCTGTTGGGGTTCTAGTGAGAGATAAGTAGCGTGTAGGGTTATATAGATTACGTAGAGTATAAACGTTAATTAATTACTACTATAAGAGTGTGTTACTAAAGATTTAAGAGTAATCTTCTATAAGGAAACTAGATATAGAGAACTATATTATAGATTAATAATAAAGGCTTACCCTATGGTAATCTGTTATCTCTATATACTACTATCTAATAGTGGCTCT